TTGTGCCTCCCCCCCCCCGCCTCCCCCCCCCCCCCGCTGTGTCTGCAGCCAACTTTACTAAACAGAGAATTCTGCACGGTTGGCAGCATGGCATATTACCAATGAAATGGTTCGTCCTTCCCCTTGAGAAAATTGCTTCAAAGGTTACGACAAATAACCTGTGTATTCCTCTTTTCCCATGGGTCATTGGTAAGCAGTTTGTGAGCCATCAGGAGTCCTCTGTGGCAAAGTCAGTGGCAGAGGGCTATTTCACTGACTGAAGCATATGGGCAGAGAGAAAGGAAATTAGATTTTATCTTCTCATCCTGGGTCCTCTGTGTGTGTGTGTGTCGGGGGGATGAGTTCTGCAGTCTTTATCGGAGAGGATTGATTTTCACACCCTTAAGCAATTTATTTGCTATTCTAAAATAGAAATTTGGACAGAACAGAGGAGGAAATCATCCTGCCTTTCCTCTGTTGCTTTCTGGTTTTGGTCACTGTCATCCATTTGCCTATGGCTGATTGCTCGGATTAATTTCTGGAATGAACACCCTCGTTGCATTACCAACATATGTGACAAATAACTAATCTGGCTCATCAAAATGCATTAGGATGCAGTGTTCCAGCTAGTGAAATACGTTCCAAGAGTAGCAGCTTGATATACGTAGAGCTGCTCTCAAAAACTATCAGTGCCTGGCTAAATATACATATAAAATAAACAGAAGGAGGGGGGAGGTCCAAAATGTGTGAAGATCTCAGCGTGTTTTCTTTCTGTGATGAGAGATGCAACAATCTTTTGTTTGCCATTGTAAAGCACTACAAAATGTTTGAACCTCCACTTCCCAAACAAATTGTGCATCCAGATTATGTGGATTCTATGAATGTTTACCATTTTCGGTGATGTCTTTCTTGTCAGTAGATTGTATATTGCCTGTAGTAGTCTGTATATCCCCTTCATGGATTGCTGCCTTGTCGTGATGAAGGGGCTTGAGTAATTCAGAGAAGCTGTGGGCTATGCCATGCAGGGACACCCAAGGTGGAGAGGTCCTAATGGAGAGTTCTGACTAAACGCGATCCACCTGGAGCAGAACTGGCTATTGAGGAAGAGCAGAGGACAAGGACAAGTAGCTCCAGAGCTAATGAAGTGGTTGAGCCAAAGCCGAAAGGACGCTCAGCTGTGGACGTGCCTGGAAGTGAAAGGAAAGTCCGATGCTGCAAAGAAAAATACTGCATAGGAACCTGGAATGTAAGATCTATGAACCTTAGTAAGCTGGATGTGGTCAAACAGGAGGTGGCAAGAATAAACATTGACATCCTGGGCATCAGTGAACTAAAATGGACGGGAATGAGCAAATTAAGTTCAGACGATTATCATATTGTGGGCAAGAATCCTGTAGAAGAAATGGAGTAGCCCCCATAGTCAACAAAAGAGTGGGAAAAGCTGTACTGGGATACAATCTCAAAAATGATAGAATGATTTCATTACGCATCCAAGGCAGACCTTTCAACATCACAGTCATCCAAGTTTATGCACCAACCATCAGTGCTGAGGAGAT